CAATGCCACGTAGAATTAAGGCAGTTCTGAAGGCGAAAGGGGGTCAAACACCGTATTAGTATGGTGTTCCTAATAATCCTTTAGGTGAGTGTATATTAATGTCACAAAAGGTGCTGCCTGGGTTAGTTAGCTGAGGTATCCTACTAACCAGAGGGGTTTTCCTTAACACTTATGCTTGACACTGCAGATGGTCATGATGTTACTTTAACGTAGTTTAAATGTTATATCGCCTGACCCTGAGGATGCAGACTGCAGACGGCTGGGCTGAGTTTGTATTTTTATTCCTATCCTTCATACGTGTGAATCCTGACCTCTTTCATCTTCATCTTCTCTAACTGCAGGATGATGTTCAGGCCTCTGCTGCTCCTCTGCCTTGGTCACTGTCTCCCAGGTGCCAATTCACAGAGTAAGTAAACACCCCACACTGATCCTGTGTGTAATTGGCTGTGTATGTCATGGGGCTGCATGATATCTCATCACAGTATAAATGCGATACACTATATATACAAAAGTATTGGAACACCTGGCCATTATTCTTACAGGAACTTTTATGACATCCGATTCTCTCTCCATATGCATCAATATGAAATTGGTCCCCCCTTTGCAGTTATAACAGCTACCACTCTTCTGGGGTGGCTTTCCACAAGATTATGGAGTGTGTCTGTGGGATTTTTTGCCCATTCATCCAGAAGAGCATTCATTTCTATAGGGAAAACTGTAATCCTAACATGACCACCTTATCCCCTACGCAGCCCTAACCTTAACTATAAGTAGTCAAATAAAATGTTTTTACTTTTTTGACTGCATTCACAGATCTTTGTGGGGACCTAGAAAATGGTCCCCAGAAGGTCAAAATATCAGATTATCATTACATTGTAGGGAACATTTTGTCCCCACAATGTAATATAAGCCTAATCCACACACACACCCACACACACAAGACAGGCCCCTCCTTAAGGGAAAAGTACAGTACGCACCCTCACAGTCCTCACATATTTACTGCATAATATGACTTAATGCTTCTGTCACTGCAATTTTTGAGATTTTTTTTCTTTCATCCTCCTTGTTCTTCCTCCTTGTTATTTTACTTTTCAAATGAATGACTTACTGTCAACCTGTTGTGTTTCCTCACCTTAAATAAATAATAATAATAACCTGACATTGTTCTGTATATGAATCAGCTATCTACACTACCGGAGCTATCGGAGGCACTGTCACGCTGCGCTGTGATGGACCAGCAGCTACAGACACCAAGGATGTTCATGTCATGTGGATGTTTGGAGGCAGGCCTGCCTGTTGGTTTAAAAATGGGAGCTGGTGTGAAACTGGTCATTATGTGAATCGAACTCGGCTTGAATCCATCCGACAGAACAACTTCTCTTTGGTCATTAATCCTGTCAGAAAAGAGGATGATGGGGTGTATATGTGTCGAATCAATCATAAAACTATACAAAGCATTCACCTTAATGTTACAGGTATGTGACCCTTCTGCCGATTCCCCTTCCCCCTCCTTAACCTTCCCGACACCCGTCTCTGTGGGGCAGAGCCTCCTATAGCTCAGTCTGCCCCCTGACCCGCATGAACAGAACCGTGACCCAGAAGTTGAGAGCAGTAGGGACTCTCTGCAGGCCGCCTTTATCCCCCGGCCCCCAACTCTCTGCTGCTACCCTGCATCTCACACTCACTGCTGCAGCTCTGAGTTACAGGCTCACGCTGACTCTGCTGCTTTTGTCCCTCCCTATCTGCAGGAGGCCAGACGCAAACAACTGGAGTCACCGCAGGTCTGTGGAGGTTTATTTAACGTGAATGAAGCTGTTACCTCCCCCAGAGGTCTCTGCAGGTTTATTTAATGTAAATAAGGCTGTTACCTTGTCCTGACCCCCCAACCTGGCCTCTGTTTTAGCCATGTCCATGACATCACATTTGATGTCACTGTGCCATGTCGTGCCATGTGGGATGTTACAGGTTCCCTAACATACGTGTGTGAGCAGCATGCAAACACATGGCTAGTGTTCAGAGATCATGGTTGTATGACAGGATTTGGCACAAACAAGAATTAACCAGAGATGTTCATGAGTCACAAAATTAGAATCAAAGTCTCAAGCCTCCATCATGACTTCAATTTGATATTAATATTTATCAAAAATGTAACCATTTATTCGTTCTATTCTATTAGTAACTGATGTGACTAAATGGAATCAACAGTTTAACAGTTCAAAAACTGATTGTCTCATAGTTCCTTAAACTTATATACATTTTCAAAGTAATCATGATTTCAAATGGCTTTGAAGCAATACAGTTTTTATGAGCACCTAAGTACTTTTCTAATGTAGATTTTATAATAGTTTCTCAAAAACATTATGATGAAGACATCCCTTGAGCAGAACGGGTAAACTTTAATCAGGATTAGCGTGAACAGTTACAAACATAGCCCAAAGACGGTCCAAACTTGGCAACAACAATCAACTATGTACACACACGAACAGGTTTGTAATTATATCCTTGTGGGGATTCTCCATTCATTTCTAGGCGGAAAACTTTAATCCCAACACGGATAGCCAGCCGTAATCTTAACCATAAGTAACCAAAGAAAGTACGAGACTTTTGGCATTTTTACTTTTTTGATTGCATTCACAGATCGTTGTGGGGACCTTAAAAATGGTGTAAAAAAAAAAAACAGGTTTGTTTTGCATGTTGGGGTATATTTGGTCCCCACAATGTAATATAAACATAATCCACACACACAGACCTGTATGTCACAGGTATTTTAGGAACTGTAGCGACTTGGATTGATAACTGGTTAATGGATAGGAAGCAGCGAGTAGTTATAAGAGGCTC